GGTACAACTGGATTTGCAGGGGTTATGTGGATATCTAGCAGAGGCAATTTATGTGGACAACTTGAAATAAAACATCTTCGTATTTTTGTTCTTTTGTGCACCCAGGAATGTCATCCAGAATGCTACAACATTTTTGTTGAACTATATTTTAATATAACAATTAAGACAAAATGTTTTTGGACTTGAATTGAATTTTTTCAAAGTTTTCCAAAATAATTCAAAGTCTATTTATAAGTGGAATTGAACACAACACGTTTTTCTGGACAAGTAGTACTGATACTGTTCTTACAGTATTGATACCTCATGAACAGTACCGATATTGTTCATATGGTACTGATACCAAGGTAAGGGAAGTATCGATACTCACTAGGTAGTACCGATACTACCAACTTTGCTCAAATTCCAGAATGTAAAAATGGTACCGAAACCCAAAGGGGTACCGATACTACTATGTATAGTAGTATCGATACCATAGGCATAGTATCGATACTATCAGGCCCCAACAACTAGTTGATTTAAATATAACAAAGGTAGTACCGATACTCCTTTTAGGAGTATCGATACCCTCTGTTCTGGATAGCTTTATTTTGCACGAAAATTGATCCCCAATGGCTCCAAACCACATCCAACGACTAGAAACGGTCACAACAACATTCCAACACATAAATACAAGTTGAGGACACTTGAAGAAGGGTTAGAACACCTATCCAAGAAATCAAACACAAGATAAGAACTTTTCACTCTTTATTCCAATTCTCTTGTAAATATTTTGTTCTTGTGAGCTAAATTTTGTAAACACCTTTCTTTTTAGAGGTTTTATTTGTTTATATTCTTTTTCCTTGTAAAGGGTTTTTGGTTATATCTTAGCCAATTCAAAAGATAGGGAATTGTAAAGGTTATCTCTTTATCCTTGAAAAAGAAAGAACAAATTAGTGAATTTGTTAGAAAATCCTTAGTGAGGAGCTAAGGTATTTGATGTAGACTTGGTTGATAAGTCGAACCACTTTAAATCCTTGTGCCAAAATTTTCTATTTATTTTTGTTCTCATTACTCCCTAATCACATTTTTATTAATTTGTCCCCTTTGCACATTTTCGATTATTCAAATGAGCCTCTTCAAATCCCAACAATTGATATCAGAGATTAAGTCATTAGAAGGTTTAACCACCTTGAGACGATCCTAGAAGAAGCTCTACTGATTCCTGACACAACCGACAAAGAAATGGCTTATACCTTCGGTGCCTACTATATTGAAGATTCATAAACGGTTAACAAGTCATCCTACTTCAATGGAGAAAATTATGCATATTGGAAGAATAGGATGATGCTCTTAATTCAAACCAATGATCTAGGAGCTTGAAACTCTATCATGAAAAGCTACACCATTTCAACCGGCGAGATGGACTATTGGAGTGATGGAGAAAAGAAGAAGTTCCAACTCAATGATAAGGCTATGCACATTCTCTTCTGTGCATTAGGCCCGGATAAATATGAAAGAGTCTCTTCTTGTTTTAATTCCAAGGAGATATGAGATAAGCTCCAAGTCACTCATGAAGAAACCGATGAAGTAAGAGAAACCAAGATAAGTCTTCTCAACCATAGCTACAAGAATTTCAAGATGAAACCCGATGAAGACATCAAATCTAAGGTGGATAGATTTTCCGTGATTGTACAATGGTCTTAAGGGATTTGGAGAAGTAATCTCCAATGAGAAGCTTGTGAGGAAGATGATCTACTCTTTTCCAAAGTCTTGACAATCGAAGAAAACATCGATTATCGAAGCTAGAGACCTAAAGTCTCTTACTCTCGACTAGTTGATTGGTTATCTTCTCACTCGTGAGTTGATGGTGAAGGAAGAGGAAGAGGAAGAAGATGAAGAGAAACAAAACAAGAAGAAGAATGATTTGATTTTGAAAGCCAAATTTGATTTTGAAAATTAAAATGAATTTTTGAAAAATAATTTAGAGCTTTCAAAAGTTAAAATTAATGGTTTAGAGAAAGAAAATTTTGATTTAAAAGTTAAGCTTAAGAGCTTAACAAAAGAAAAAAGAATTAATTTCTCAAAACAACTAATTATGTTTAAAAATGGCAAAATGCTCACATTGTCATTTTTATGGTCATTTGGAACATACTTGTCCCATAAAGAAAAGAAAATCTTTTAAAATTAGACAAGTATGGGTTCCTAAGGGAACAAGGGGCATTAAAACTAACGTCCAAGGATCTAAAGCAATTTGGATACCAAAATCCAAATAAATATCTCTTGCAGGTGTGTGAGAGCAATGATGATGAAAATGAAGAAATTGATATACTCTAGCCACACTTGAAATTGAATGGGTAACCTCTAAGCTTAATGCTTTTGATTTTGATTATTTGGTTGCTCATTTTGATTTAAGCATGCACGAGTTTTGATTTTAAATGATTTGATGTTTTTCATCTCATGTATGTTAAAAAGGTGTTATGATGAACATTTTAAAGTTTTAATGATTTTTAATAATTATTTTAAGTTCATCATAATGAATTTTGGTTAAAAATGATTTTAATGCAAATGATATATCTCTAACAATTGATATCAAACTTTTTAACTGCTTTGATATTACAAATTTTAAATTTTTGACCTAAATTTTAAATGTTTATGCATGTGTTTTAAATGTTAAAGATATCTCTCTAGCAATTGATATCAATTTTTTTAAATGCATAACATTTTTGAAAAGCTTTATGCATATGCACTTAATTTCAACAATGGATATTGCATAAAGTATTTTAGACTTGAATATATTGAATTTCATGTGCTACTAACATTTTTGTTACTATTTGTTAAAATTCAATTTTGTTTAAGTGTCAAGATTTTAAAGTTAATTTTTATTTGGAATGCACTTTTTGAGGGGGAGCTTTGATTTTTCAAATGTTTTAAAATGTAAAAATGATCACTTACTCTCCAATTTTATACTTTAAAGTTGGATTCTTTTTTATTTAACAAAAAGGGAGGAGAAGTATGAGTTTGAAAAAATCATTTTCTTAATGAAAAAGGAGGAGTTGAACATTTTCACATATTTTCCAACAATTGATATATTTTCATTAAACATTTTAGTAAGGGGGAGTTTGCCAAAACAAATTTTCAAATGTTTTGTTATATCAAAAAGGGGGGAGATTGTTGAACTATATTTTGATATAACAATTAAGGCAAAATGTTTTTGAACTTGAATTGAATTTATTCAAAGTTTTCAAAAATAATGCAAAGTCCATTTATAAGTGGAATTGAGCACAAAACTTTTTTCTGGACAAGTAGTACTGATATTGTTCTTATAGTATTGATACCTTATGAATAGTATCGATATTGTTCATATGGTACCGATACCAAGGTAAGGGAAGTATCGATACTCACTAGGTAGTATCGATACTACCAGCTTTGCTCAATTTCCAGAATGCAAAAATGGTATTGATACCCAAAGGGGTACCGATACTACTATGTATAGTAGTATCGATACCATAGGCATAGTATCGATACCATCAGGCCCCAACGGCTAGTAACAGCTAGTTGATTTAAATATAACAAAGGTAGTACCGATACCCTCTATTCTAGGTAGCTTTATTTTGCATGAAAATTGATCCCCAACGGCTCCAAACCACATCCAACTAGAAACAACACAACAACATTCCAACACATAATACAAGTTGAGGACACTTGAAGATGGGTTAGAACACCTATCCAAGCAATCAAACACAAGAGAAGAACTTTTCACTCTTTATTTCAATTCTCTTGTAAATATTTTATTCTTGTGAGCTAAATTTTGTAAACACCTTCTTTTTTAGAGGCTTTATTTGTTTATATTCTTTTTCCTTGTAAAGGGTTTTTGGTTCTATCTTAGTCAATTCAAAAGATAGGGAGTTGTAAAGGTTATCTCTTTGTCATTGAAAAAGAAAGAACAAATTAGTGAATTCGTTAGAAAATCCTTAGTGAGGAGCTAAGGTAGTGGATGTAGACTTGGTTGATAAGCTGAACCACTTTAAATCCTTGTGCCAAAATTTTCTATCTTTTGTTGTCCTTACTCCCTAATCACATTTTTATCAGTTAACCCCTTTGAACATTTTCGGTTGTTCAATTGAGCCTCTTCAAATCCCAACAATTTTCCACGTCTCCTTATCTAATATGCTACGATATTTCTCCAATTATCCTTCAACTTCATTTATCTGCACAAATCACCACATACAAACCACCTTTCCCTTTAAGCAACACCAATTTCATAAAGAAATAAAAACTAGCAAGCACACACCACCATATACAACTACATGAGCTATATGCAACTAAATGCAATTAAATGAGCTTCTAAACAACCAATAACCTAAGTAAAAAGACATGAAATATACCTTTTTTATGTGGTTAACACAATGCCTAAAAAATTTGATTTGGTCATAATATGTTGACGTGTCTTTCTATATATATTGTACAAGTGTGACATGTCTACTTAAAAACTTTAAATTTCTCTGTCTTAGATATTTTATTTATAATTTCTATTAATAATATATTTTCGTCCCCTATAATTTTATAAATTTACATTTTTGTTTTAGAATTTGATGAATTCGTTCTGTAACCTAATATCATGTAATCATCCTTGATGATAGAGGCTTGCCTCGGATTGTACAGGCTTATAACACGTTAGATTATAATTCTAATTTTGTTTAATTTGTACCAAATAATCCAATATCTAACAAATTTGATTTGATCCTAATCCGTTGAGGTGACTTTCTATAATACACACATATATATATATATAGTACAAGTGTTGCATGTCATTATCGTGGTTTAGGGCGGAAAGAGGGAGATTTTTATTTTTTTGGTGTTTGGGGAAACAGAAACTTGTAAAAAAAGTTGAAAATGGTAGAAAATTTTCATTTTGGGAGGAATGGCGCCAACATTTTCTTTTCCAAAATCAGTGTTCCCGCCTTCTTTTCTTCTTTCCATTATTTGTTTATAATGCAAGTTTTCTCCATCTTATCTCTACCTTCACTAAATAATATAGTGAAAGAAGGCAAACAGTATTTGGAGCACAGATTTGAAGATCCAACAGCCGTCTCATCTCCAGATCATGGGATCCGTCGCTCTTTTTGATTCTAACAATTCTTCTTCAGGTTAATTCTTTTTCTGCTAACTTTTTTGTTTTCTGTTTTCCAGACTGAATTATTGAATCTCTAGATTCAGTTCCGAGTGTTAAATTTTGTTAGCCGTTCCCAAAGGGAAAAGAAAAGGAAAGGGGGCTGGGCCCATATACATCAATATTATTATTATTATTTGACAGATTTATTTTTATGTATAAGAGAGAAGAGACTGTAGACTTACAGCTAGAGACAGGCCATCTGATCTAGGCTAAGCCAATCAGGTGACGGTTGGTTGTTTTTAGTTTCACGTCCAATAAAAAAATCTCTTTTTTTTATTTTGCTTTGTAATTTACATCCTTGTTACCGCTGATAGCGGCATAGATATGAAATTTCAAATTTTGTTGTTCTAGAGTATGGGTTCTTTTTGTTATTTTAAAGGATTTTCTTGTTTCTGCATTTTGGTTGATTTAATTATTCGCTTCATTTTAAAACTTCACGCAGTTTGTTTTATTTTAATGGGCTATTCCTGCGTAATCTTTTTGGTGGATTTGATATCTGGGACTTTTTTTTTGGTTCTTTGAAGCTTTGATTTGACTAACTTGTTTCACTAGACTTGTGCATTTGTAGTTTTCTGTGTGATTTCAAGTTTCTACTCAGTTGGTCCTTCATTTCTTAGCAAAACAAGACTGTTAGACTATTATAAGTTGCATGTATACTTAAGAAGCATGCTGATACATATTGCTGTAAGAACTAATATTTGATCTGTAAACTCAAAAATGAGATAAACTAGCTTTATTGAATCAAAGAGGAAAAGTGAAACGAAAGAAAGAGCTTTAATCTTTTGTTGAAATCTGGAAAATCTAGCGCTTCTACATTAATCCCTTATTGTTGTTACTGTACGTAAGCTCCTACTTCAGCTACTAGTATTGGTCAACCAACTCAGCTCAAGTTTACACTGTTTCTTTTTTTTTCTTTTTTTGCATTCAGGAATGAAGAAGAATAAGAAAGTCAAGAATACATCTTCCACCAAGAAAGAGATGGCAATTGATAAAAAAACTCAAAAGCGTAATATTGCTCCTGAAAATGGGGAACCAGCTTCAAAAAGGCCAAGGAGAGCTGCTGCATGTACAGATTTTAAGGAGAAATCTGCCCGCATATCTGAAAAAGATTCAATTGTTGAGACAAAGAAGGATATGGTAGTAGATGATGAAATTGTAGCTGTACGCCTGACTTGTGAAAAAGATGAGGGACGACCTAATAGGAGGCTCAATGATTTTGTATTGCATAATTCAGAAAGTCTTCCTCAACCTTTTGAAATGTTGGAAGTCAATGACATGTTCATAACTGGTTTGATATTGCCATTTGAAGAAATTTCTGACAAGGAAAAGGAAAAGGAAAAGACTGTTAGATGTGAAGGATTTGGACGTGTTGAGTCTTGGGACATCTCTGGTTATGAAGATGGTCGTCCAGTGATATGGCTTTCAACTGATGTAGCTGACTACTTCTGCTGTAAACCAGGTGGCAGCTATAAAAAGTTTTACGATCATTTCTTTGAAAAAGCTCGTGCTTGTGTAGAGGTTTATAAAAAGCTTTCAAAGCCTTCTGGTGGAAATCCTGACTTAAGTCTTGATGAGTTGCTTGCTGGTGTTGTTCGGTCAATGAGTGGAAGCAAGATCTTCTCTCATGGGTCATCAATTAAGGATTTTGTCATTTCCCAGGGAGAGTTTATTTATAATCAACTGATTGGTTTGGACGAGACATCAAAGAATGGCCAGGTATTTGCAGGGTTACCTGTTCTTACTGCCCTTAAAGATGAAAGTAGGAAGCGTGAAAATATAGGGCAAGGAATGACATCATTTATTGGTGGGACTCTGACTATTGGTAGAAAAGGAGAGGGAGAGAGCAAAATGGATGAGACATATTCATCTACATGTACAACCGAGGAAGATGAGGATGCAAAGTTGGCAAGACTTTTGCAAGAGGAAGAATATTGGAAATCTATGAAACAAAAGAAGAATCAAGGTTCAGCCTCCATGTCAAACAAATTCTACATCAAGATCAATGAAGATGAGATTGCTAACGATTATCCTCTCCCAGCATACTACAAGAATTCTAATGAAGAAACTGACGAGCTTGTAGTTTTTGAAAGTGACATTGATGTGTGTGATCCTGAAGATCTTCCTCGAAGCATGCTTCACAATTGGTCATTTTACAACTCAGACTCAAGGTTGATTTCCTTGGAGCTTCTTCCAATGAAGCCGTGTGCTGACATTGATGTTACCATCTTTGGTTCTGGGGTTATGACTGCTGATGATGGGAGTGGATTCTGTCTTGATGATGACCTTAGTCAGTCGTCTTCAGGTTCTTCAAGTGCAGTGAATGCTGATGGGATTCCAATTTTTTTGAGTGCTATTAAGGAATGGATGATTGAATTTGGATCATCAATGGTTTTCATATCTATCAGGACAGACATGGCTTGGTATTGTCTTATGTTTTTACATTAGGGTTCACCAGCTGCTATAATTTTCCCCCTAATCAATGTTTTGAAAATTTGATCTATAATGCATGCACATAAATAACTGTAAAAGTGATAAGAAAAACATAGTTTTTTAAAATTGCCTACTAATGTGCAAAATAACCAAAAACTTTTCTTCATTAAATCATTAATTTTAATCATGATGACTTTTTTATCAGGTATAGACTTGGAAAACCATCAAAGCAATATCTTCCTTGGTATGAACCAGTGCTCAAAACTGCAAGGGTTGCGATAAACATTATTACATTATTGAAGGAGCAAAGCCGAGTATCACGCCTCTCTTTCAACGATGTCATCAGAAGAGTGTCTGAGTTCAAGAAGGATAATCGTGCTTTTATATCTACTGATCCAGCATCTGTTGAGAGATATATTGTTGTGCATGGACAAATAATACTACAGCTCTTTGCAGAGTTTCCTGATGAGAAGATTAAGAAGTGTGCATTTGTTGTTGGCCTTGCCAACAAAATGGAGGAGAGACACCATACAAAATGGTTAGTAAAGAAGAAGAAAGTTGTACACACAAGTGAACCAAATCTGAATCCAAGAGCAGCCATGATGCCTGTAGTTTCTAAGAGAAAGGCTATGCAGGCAACCACAACAAGGCTTATCAACAGAATTTGGGGTGAATTCTATTCAAACTACATGCCAGAAGATTTGAAGGAGGAAGCTAACTGTGAGGTGAAAGATGAAGACGAAATTCAGGAAGAAGAGGAAAATGAAGATGATGATGCCGATGCTGATGTTGGTGCTGGTGCTTGTGCTGATGCTAAAGAAGATAAATCAAATTCAAAGGAGATTCAGAAGTCTCCTTCTGTATCAAGGCAATCTAGACAGTGTTCCAAGGAGGAAGTAAGATGGGATGGAGAGCTTGTAAGCAAAACAAGCTCTGGTGAGCCTCTTTATAAACAAGCCTTTGTACATGGAGAAGTAGTTGTGGTTGGAAAGGCTATATCTATTGAAGTTGATTCATATGAACTTCCTGCAATCTATTTTGTGGAATACATGTTTGAAACTTCAAAGGGAAGAAAAATGTTTCATGGACGAATGATGCAAAGAGGATCTGAAACTGTACTTGGCAATGCAGCTAATGAGAGAGAGGTGTTTCTAACAAATCATTGTGGGGATTTTGAATTGGAGGATGTGAAACAGACTGTAGTAGTAGATATTCGGGTAAGGCCTTGGGGATATCAGCATCGGAAAGATAATGCCAACTTGGACAAACTGGATAGAGCTGAAGCTGAGGAGCGGAAGAGAAAAGGACTTCCAATGGATTATTATTGTAAAAGCTTGTATTGCCCTGAGAGGGGTGCATTCTTTAAGCTCCCCTTTGATACATTGGGTTTAGGTTCTGGATTTTGCCATTCTTGCCAAGTTAAGGAAGCTGAGAGGGACAGAGAAATGTTCACAGTGAATCCATTAAATACTGGTTTTGTATACAAGGAAACCGAGTACTCTCTCCATGATTATGTCTATATAAGCCCACATGAATTTTCGGTCGAAAGGGCTCAAACTGAATACTTCAAGAGTGGGAGGAATATAGGCTTGAAGCCTTACGTTGTGTGCCAAGTGCTGGAGATTATTGCCCATAAAGGGCAGAAAAAAGTTGAAAAGGAATCCACCCAGATTAAAGTCAGGAGATTTTTCCGACCAGAAGACATTTCAGCTGAGAAGGCATACAATTCTGATATAAGAGAGGTAGGTGCTACCGTAAAATTTAATGTCAATTAAAACTTCATGTTGTTATATAATTTACACATTTTCCTATGGATGTTCTAATAAATTTATATGTTTTCATTTTCAGGTCTATTACAGTGAAGAAACACATGTTTTGTATGTTGAGGCAATAGAAGGAAAATGTGAAGTTAGAAAGAAGAATGACCTTCCAGCTTGCAATGCTCCAGCAATCTTTCATCATATCTTCTTCTGTGATCGCATATACGATCCTTCCAAGGGATCCTTGAAGCAGGTGATTTCCTTTTGTTTCAGTTGTTGTAGTGCTTGTTTTCATGGAAACTTTTGTTTGCATGTATAAAATATTTGCACATTTTGAGGATCAATTAACTTCCCTTGTTTTTCGATTGGCATGCAGTTACCGGCTCAAATAAAACTAAGGTTCTCAAATGGAATTGTGGATAATGAAATTGCATATCAAAAGAAAAAGGGAAAGGGTAAACAAGAAGAAAATGAGTTAGAAGTTGAGAAACAAAAAGAAGCATCTCAGGAGAACTGCTTGGCTACGTTAGACATATTTGCAGGTTGTGGTGGCCTTTCAGAGGGGTTGCACCAATCTGGTACCGTCTATCTTTATGTTTATTTCATCAATGTTAATGTGCTTCTCTGTATCTATTTCCAAAGCACTTTATGTCCAACCTTCTGTTTTTACTGATGTAGGTGCATCATTAACTAAATGGGCAATTGAATATGAAGAGCCCGCTGGAGATGCATTTAAACTCAATCATCCTGAGTCTATGGTGTTCATTAAAAACTGCAATGTGATTCTTAGGTCAGTATGACAAGTTAGCTCTCCTATGTTCCCTTTCAAAATGCTAATAATTCAAAAATAAGTTGTAATACAGGGCTATTATGGAGAAGTGTGGGGATGTAGATGACTGCATCTCCACTTCTGAGGCAGCTGAATTAGCTGCATCACTTGATGAGAAAGAGATTAATAACTTGCCACTTCCTGGGCAAGTAGATTTCATCAATGGAGGTCCTCCATGCCAGGTATTAAATATTAATCTTTCCTTTATTCTTCTAGTCTCCGGGGCAATTACTAAATGATTCACTAAGAGCAAAGCTGTCTTACTTTGCAGGGTTTCTCTGGAATGAATAGATTTAACCAAAGTACATGGAGTAAAGTACAATGTGAGATGATTTTAGCATTCTTATCATTTGCGGAATACTTCCGGCCTAGATATTTCCTCCTAGAGAATGTGAGGAACTTTGTGTCATTCAATAAAGGACAGACATTTAAGTTAACTCTGGCCTCACTTCTTGAAATGGGTTATCAGGTAGATTTCCTTGTGGCTAACAGCAATATATGATTGTATCTTTTTTTGTATTTATACAAATGTAAGTATGTGTGTAGTCATGTGTGATATTCTGCTTTGCCTGTTTAGGTGAGGTTTGGTATTTTGGAAGCTGGAGCCTATGGAGTTTCCCAGTCAAGAAAACGAGCATTCATGTGGGCAGCTTCCCCTGAAGAGACACTTCCTGAATGGCCAGAGCCAATGCATGTCTTTGCCGCTCCTGAGTTGAAAGTCACATTATCACATAATTTGCAGTATGCAGCTGCAAGAAGTACTGCAAGTGGAGCCCCTTTTCGTTCAATTACTGTAAGAGATACAATTGGTGATCTTCCAGCTGTAGGAAATGGGGCCTCAAAGATAAATTTGGAGGTAGCTAGATTGAAAACTATATCTCTGAAATTACTTCATGCTATAACAGTTTCATATGCATATCCAATTTACGATGTACTATTTCTGCAGTATCAAAGTGAACCCATCTCATGGTTTCAAAAGAAAATCCGAGGAGACATGGCTGTCCTTACCGATCATATATCAAAGGAAATGAATGAACTTAATCTGATTCGGTGTCAAAAGATTCCAAAGCGACCAGGTGCAGATTGGCATGATCTTCCAGATGAGAAGGTACATCAACAACTGTTCTTTGCATCTGTTCATTGGAAATGAAATTAGAATGAAATTGTTGAACTGCTGAGTTATTGTTTCCTTAAAATTGCAGGTAAAACTTTCTACTGGACAATTGGTAGATTTAATACCCTGGTGCCTACCAAATACAGCCAAAAGGCACAATCAATGGAAAGGGCTATTTGGAAGGTTGGATTGGGAAGGGAACTTCCCAACTTCCATCACAGACCCTCAACCAATGGGCAAGGTTGGAATGTGCTTTCATCCTGAACAGGACAGGATCTTGACCGTTCGTGAATGTGCTCGGTCTCAAGTAAGTCATTCAACTTGCTAACATTCATTGCCATTGAAGTTTTTGAAAGGCTACAATGAAGTAGAAGATATTGGTACGAGTTCTAATGGATTTCTTGCCTTTCCTAACAGGGTTTCCCAGATGGCTACAAGTTTTCTGGTAAGATTCAAGACAAGCATCGGCAGATCGGAAATGCGGTTCCTCCTCCTTTGGCATTTGCATTGGGAAGGAAACTGAAGGAAGCATTGGACAGTAAAAAGTGTTAAGTAATTGCAATTGTAGTTGATGGATGTTGTTGGGACTTCCACAGTTGATGGATGCGGTTCCTCCTTTGGCATTTGCATTGGGAAGGAAACTGAAGGAAGCATTAGACAGGAAAAAGTACAAGTAAAATTGCATTGGGAAGGAAACTGAAGGAAGCATTAGACGGTAAAAAGTGCAAGTAATTGCAATTGTAGTTGATGGATGTTGTTGGGACTTCTACAGTTTACCAATTTGAAAAAAGACCTATGTCATAATTCATTGATAAAAGTTGAGTAGGGGTGAGCGTTCGATCGAGTTGAATAATTTTTTTTGAGTTATTTGAATTGACAAGTTTTATTTTATAATTTGAGTTTGAAATTTTCTTGAGTTAAGTTGAGTTTATAAAATTTAAGTCGAGTTATTTGAGTTTTTATTTAAATTTTATTTATAATATTATGATATTATTTAATTTTAATTTAAATGTTTTTTTATAACCATATATAATGTATATATATATATATATATATATGTGTGATATATAATATTATACACAGTTAAGGGATTCAAATTGAATTTGAAAACCAATTTACTAATTATTAAAATTTTTGAGTTATTTGAGATACTATTTGAGTTATTCAAAATTTATTTTATAATTCAATTTGATTTTTTAGTTGAGTTGAGTTTATGAAATTATAAGTTGAAGCTAATTTGAGTTAAGGGTTTTTTTTAAGTCGAGTTAGGGGTGTTTAATTGGTCGATTTGGTTAATTGATTGGACCGAATTGTCTAACAACATTAATTGATATTTTTTTTATCTTTAATTGTTAATTGAACTAGAAATTTTCTTTTTTCCAACTTAATTGAACAATATTTGGTTTATTCGGTTGATTAACCAAATTAATTGAAATTTTAAATATTATATATTATATATTTAATATTTTCAGTTAATTTGTTTAATTCAGTTTGTTAATTTGGTTAATTTAGTTAAAATCAAAATTTAAATACTCCTAAAGCTAAGTAATATATAAATAGTATAAATGATATATTAAAAAGATTAAAAAATTTCAGTTAGTTCGATTAATCAATCAATTTTGAACCGAATTAATCAATAATTGAACTTTGAAAAAAATCATTAACCGTTAACTCATCGAATATAAAATTAACCGATTAATCGAAAAGAATTTCAATTCGACCTGTTTAATTGGTTTTAACTGATTAATGAACACCCCTGAGTCAAGTTGAAAAGAACAAATTTCTGAATTGTGTTTTGCTTATAGTTAGTAGGCTTTTTGATTTAAACTCCCCCACCCCCATATATATATTTGGTTACAGCTTCTGTAAATATCAATAACATTGTTGGTGCATGGTATTAAGAAGAAGAAAAAATAGCATATCCTGATTATATGTGGCAAATAAGTCATTCGAATTGGATTTGGTTCGAGTCATTTCGATTTAGACTTAATTTGAGTTGGGTTATTTTGGAGTTCAGTTTTATTCGAGTGTATAAAAAGTTGGATAAGGTCATTTCAGGTTTCAGTTTGAGTATAAGTTGGTTATACCAGATCGATTGATTTCGGGTCAAATCAAATAGGACCGGTCGATTTTCGGGTTTGGTCAATATCCGATCAATTATTTTTGGTTTGAGTTAACTTTGGATCTTCAGATTAATTCAAGTTGAGTTGTGTATAAGTCATATCAAATATATATAGAATTATTTATATATTATTGTAAAAAAACACGTTCTTTTTCTTAATCTTATAATTTGTGTTCAATTTCATTCAAATTCAATTATTATTTATAGATTATAATTTAACTCAAACTCGATCTACAAGATATGTTAGAGTTTGTATTTTTTTTATGATTCGGATTGAAAAGTTTATGGTACGATCTATTTGATTAAAAAACTTAATTATAATTTTTTTATTATCTATTAAAATTTTAAATTAGATACTTAACATTTAATTATAAATATAATATTTTTATTAAATTTAAAAGTAATACTATTTGTTTGAATAAACATTCTAAATATATTTATAAATGATATTATTACATTTTCATATCATCGATAATATTTTAATTTTAAATTATAAATAAAAATAGATATCTTTATATTGTAAAAATAAGTTATTTGTGTAGTATAAAAATAAGTAATTTTTGTATTAAATTTAAATAATTATATTTTTTCATATACAAAGGAATTAAAATAATTTTTAAAATAATTTAATAGTTTTGGAAAGTTATTTAGTAGTTCCAAAGTAAAATATTTAATTAATAATGAGTTAATTGCATCACATGTCCATAAACTATGACTCATTTCAAATTAGCCTTTAAACTTTTTAATATTTCAATTTCATCCTTATACTATGACTCTCATTCTAAATTAGTCCTTAACCTTTTGAACATTCAAATTTCAAGAGGGAAGACATGATTGGATTGTAGGGTCGTAAACATGTATCTACGCCAATTTGTGAATTGTGACTAGTTTGACTGTCCAGGTCTTGGATTAAGTTCATAGCCATAGTGCTCTAGTTCTAGAGTTTGCCAATTTAATACATGTTTTGAGCCTTCTTGTCTCTTTAATTTAAACCCAAATGTTTTGACATGTTATAGGCTTATATATGCCGGGAAGCAACTTGCATATGACAAGACAGCGCGTGACTGCACTATTGAGGGTGGATCTGTGCTGCATCTCGTGCTTGCACTGAGGGGTGGCTGTCTCTAGATAGTCCCTCAAATATTTGACGGAATCTGCTCCGATTTTACTTTGGCATAAAACTTAATGCGTTTGTATTTGATCTGTTGACAAATACATGGAACATATATGAAATGATTTTCTCAGATGCAGATGATGTGTTGTATTATTATAAATATTACCTTCTTTGGATGGCCTGGGAAACTGAATTGATTTCCTCAGATGCAAATGTTGTGATGTATTATTATAAATATTACCTTCTTTGGATGGCCTGGGAAACTCAGGAGGATAAAAAGATTGAAAAAAAAAAAGTTGGGTTTTACTATTCCTCAATGGACATTTACGAAGACACTGTATGAACAAATGGAACGACATTCTAATTGTGTTCCATCTTCACAAGATCGATACTATCATATCGAAGAATATATTGGTCGTTTTATTAATGTGGGTGTCTGTTAGGAGTTTTGAAGCGGAAAAATGATGAAGTGAGGTTAACATGTAAAAGATTACATTCAAGAGGTGAGATTTAATGTAGTTGACGATATCATTAACAATTTAATGTAGTTTACGAGATCAACAATAATCTGCGAGGAATCATGTATTAAGGTGGATGAGCACTGATAAGTACTTTAATGTATATTTAAAACTTTAAAATTATAAAGTATTTAATGTATAATTATAAATTAGTTAAAAATATAAACATAAACTATTTAAAATAAAATATTAATTACATTATTTTTTATAATCTTATTTTTAATAATAATTAGATTAAGTACTAACCTCTAAATTAAAAAGCCCTAAATATTTTCCTTGCTTTGCAGCCGATGTTGCTGCCGTTATCATCTTCCGTCGGCTAGAGAGTCGTCGTCGTTCCTCCCTACATGGTTGCCGTTCCAGCTCGGCCACCATTCACAACCATTCGCGCAACAACTCGATAAGGTAAGCTATCTTTTTTTATATTTTATTTCAAACTTGGGCGGCTGCCAAGCCGTCACCGACGGGTGTCATCTCACCGGTTGTCAGCGCCTTTACTGACAATGGTCGCTGCTGTCCGTGTACGGCGGTCACCATCTCATTCTGGCTTCCCCCAATCTCTTAATCCCCAAACCCAATCATAATCCTATCCTAACCCTAATTTTCTAATTAGGTCAATTATAAAGCCCTAATTCCCAAATCGAGTACTATAATTTCCACATTAGAACTCTAATTCCAATAATTGAACCTTAATTTCTATATTAAAACTCTATTTACCAAATCCAATTTCGAATTCCCAAATTAAATCCCCCAAGTTTTACCGGTACGTTGACTCATATGTACCAGTACGTGGGTAATCGAGCATCGACACTAGCTGCATATCAGTAATAAATGCACACTAAATTTATTTCAGATAGACGTACCAGTACTCTAGTAAAGCGTATCAGTACAATATTTTGAGTTTTTTAATTTTATTTTAATACAACTATCATGTCATTCACTATTTTAATAATATTGCTTTTCTTTTTCTTTTTTAAAATACAATAATGTTTCTTTTCTTTATTTTTTAAAAATATATATTTTTTCGAGATGGTTGATAATAAAGATACTAAAATTTAAATTACAGAATTAGACTATTATAATCAGGATAAAGATGGATACAATAGTGAATCCGATTGTGAAATTTTATCTGAAGAATAACAAAATGATTATCCTATTAATGATGACAAACATATAGATGATGAGAAGACAATTGATAAATTTTTGTATATATCTAGTTCAGATATCTAAAATGGACTGAAATTGATGAATTTTGTATACAACATGCTTATGACCGCTTTCTACATTTGATTATCACTGGTGGTTTCGACTATCCGGAAGTAAGTATTCTACCATTAGGACCGTGGGTGCTTGGTGGATTTAGTGCTTTCGCATTGGCCAACGTATCAATCTCGCTCATATAATTTTTACAGACCTAGTTTACATCATCAACAACCGTCTCATCTCTATAGTCACCTCATTTTCCTACAGTTACATCCTAAGCCATATCCTTACTAAGAAGAAAATAGATTGCTGCATATATATTCTGTCGCAACACCTCGAAAAATCGAGGGTTTGATTTTAGGGTTCGTTTCGAATAAAAATGTGGTTTGATGGAGTCGTCACCAATATTTGTTTAGGGTGTGATTGGATCACCCAAATTGTTGTCATTTTAATAAAACTTAATTTTAAAAATTATTAAAATAACATTTTGGTATTCTTTCCAAAAAAAATAGGTTCGGGAGTCGATTACATGTGGGGAAAGGTTAGCACACCTACAACACCTGTAAATCGGTACCTAGTCGATTAATTATTGTCTTTGCAATGGAATTTATGAATTCAAATTTAATTTGATTAATAATCCCCTATTTAGTTAAATAAATACCATGATATTTAAAAATCCAAGAGGAAAAACTAACGATTCAAACATTTAATTGGGGAAAGTTAACTACCTTATATGAGAAATAATGAATTTTCATTTCCAATTAAATCGTTCAATCACTAATCTCTTCATCGAAAACTTTAATTAAAGTTCTAGCGTTTCGAACCGAAAGAGAATCACCACCTAATATAAGGTAGAGTGACAATTCATTCATGGTATT